TGTTGGGTTTTTTGGCTTCCTCCTGTTTTCTATGATGCTCAGCAATATTGTACACAGGCCGCGGGAAAATTACATGGACTATTTGTACCGCGAGAACTTTCAGGGAAATGCGAAAAGACCTTCCTGCAAAACCACACTGCCAGCGGCAGTTGCTCAAAAGGTCAAACCTGAGCCCAGCCTTCCTGGGCAGTGCCAAAAGACTAACAGCTGTACAATAGCAACTGAGCTTCCAAATGCAAAATCGGTGGTGAAAATCGTATGAAAGTGGACCTCATATGCAGCACGATAGCTTCTTCTTAACCACTGGTGATTCTGTTACTCACTGAAGCGTGGGACTAATTGAGCCTCTTCTTATACGAGCTTCTTGCTCACAGTGGACATGTCTGTTCCTGAGTGACACAACAGCTTTCCTGCTCAGGCCCTGAACCTTCAGATGAGGCACGGGAAATCAAGCTCAGACTTGTACGGCTCCTTTTATATTCCTTTTTGGCACGTCTCTCACAGAAGAAGAAAACCATATCCTTCCTCATGCTATTCATCATGCCATTGTGAAGGCATTTGTTCTTCTAGCTGTGGCCTGTGGGCACCCTTCGTTTTTTGCCCTTGGCATTAAGATCCATGGATTATTTATTTTTTTAATGTATAATGTGGATAATGTGTAAAAAATAAAAAATTAAAAAGCTTGCCCTAGCATGAGGTCTCCCATCTCACAGAATGCAGCAATACCTAGATTCAGATTAAACTAAGGTCCATGTCAATTTGAGAGCAGAACCAAGGGCCTGTCCACACTTCCTCTTGTCCTGGTGAATTCCACCGGGAAAACCCGCTCTTTACTGCTGAATTGGACCAGACAGCAGTTGGGCTTTCCGCAGATTGATGTTTGCTTTAGTTCAGCAGTAAAGAGCGGGTTTTCCTGGGGAAAGTGGCAGGGTAAACGGAAAACTGCTCAGAAGCACAGCACAAGTGGAAGTGTGGACAAGCCCTAAACTCTACCCAGAACACGGACTAGTCTCCTGTTCCCAGTTCCTATTATTGCCTGCTGGGGGCAAGGCAGAGGAGGGAATTAACATCTGTGATATGAAGTCAGGAGGTGAGTAAAGTGGTACTTGATCAGGGGTGACCAAACTTTTCAGACACATTTGGATTTTAGAGCAAGCGCCGTGAGCTCTTGCCACTCTGCTCACTTCTGTCACCCTTCCTCTGGATGAAACCCCTCTCCCCACAAGAGACAAAAAGAGCGAACGTGTGCACGCCCTTTGTTTTTCCGAGGGATCAGGTAAAAGTAAGAGCTTGTAGAATTAATCTGGGCCTTGAAAAAACACTTGGAGCTGAAAAGGGAAGTTGGAAAGAGCCTCACACTTCCAACTTCGTCTTTCAGCTCTATATGCTTTTCAAGGGGGAAAAGGGTAATAACACCTTCACCTTCTCATGATCAAAGCAGTGGAAAATATAATGAAGTGCTTGCTATGTCAATTGAATGACAATGATTTCCCTTAGTACTTCTGGGGAAAGCCTTTATATTAATTTCGATATGACCACCATCTCCTTCATATTATTTCATTCAAAAGCACAGCCTTTTTCTAGTAGTCAAAGGCAGGCTACACGTAAAATATCTACTTTGACCTAAACGCTTTGGTATGTAGTTGTGGTTTATACTTATTTGTGGGAGTCGTGTGGGATCTAAGAGCACATCATCCACCTAGTTGTTTTGAAGAGGGCCAGGTGTACATCCAGTTCACCTAATCCCTGCCACCACTCCCAGCATCTAACTTTTACACTCTCCACAACTAGAGTATTTGGAGTATGATGGTGGGGATAACTCAGCGGCAGAGCATCTGCTTTGCATACAGAAGGTCCCTAGTTAATTTCCTAGCATCTCCAGGCAGGGCCAGAACTCAGTGGGACTTACTATCGAGTAGACATGTACACACTAATCTGCCTTAAAACGCTGTGATGATTTATACTTACTCAAAAGCATTGTATTTATGTAGGTGTGGGAACTAAGTTCCTTATCTAAAACAGAGATCTCTGGAGCAATCAAATGCCTAGAAGACAAATTACTAAATCAATTCCTCCTCCTTTGGAACATAGTGTTTTTATGTCACCCCAATCTCTGAGCAGCACAGGTTCCAGGGGCTTATCCAAGGGTTCCTGTTTTCTTTTGGCACATCAGAGACTGTGGTACAGGGGTCAGCAAACTTTTCCAGCAGGGGGTCAGTCCCTCAGACCTTGGGGGGCGGACTATATTTTTTGGGGGGGGGATGATGCAAGAGCACCATGAGCCCTGGTGGCTGCTTACCTGTGTCTTGCGAGGGCAGGGGCTGGTGGTGGCGGTGGAGGAACGATGAGCGGCGCACGAAAGGGCTCCGGAGAGGGGCTGCTTAAAATGGCAGCCGCTCAAGCACTGCTGCTGCTGGCACCAACAAAGCCCAGCCCCCTTCCTCCTCTAGGCAGGGCAGGGAGAAGCCAGGAAGGAGGGAGGGAGGAGCTGCCACCACTGTGTGAGGGAGAGGGAAGGAGAGGGAAAGAACGCTCGCGCTGGCGATCCACGTGGCAATTCCCGGAATGTCCATGGGCCGGATCCAGAAGGCAATTGGGCCTGATCCAGCTAACGGGCCTTAGTTTGCCAACCCATGCTGTGGTATATTTAGGATACATGGTTTATTTACACATATATACACTCTGAGCCTACAATGGAGGGCTACACAGCACCAACAGCCAAAAAGGGTCTTGCGTGTCCCGTAACCACAGCCTTGGATTCAAACAGAACAATAGTCTCAAATGTTGCTCTGGGTCTCCTACTTCCCACTTTACTTCTAGGTCACATTACTACTAACTCTCTACCCTATGCTCTGGCTTTATCCATTGAGTGAGAGAGGCTCCTCCCAGTTATCATCTCATACCATGTTCTTTGATCCTTTATTGTCTTAATGGCCCATCACTCAGGCTATCACTTCAGGGAAAACTAGTCTGTCTTAATTATCTTTTAAGTCTTCCAGGGATTAGAAATATGAGGCACACAATTTAGCACCCCAAGCCTTAATTAAATTGTAACACTTGTTGAATCCAGAGATTATAGTGATCTGGCACCCAAAAACTCATCTCTAGTATCTCCCAATTTCCACCTCTTCAATACTCTATTAATCCATATCCTTTTCAAAAAATAAACAAACGAAACATTGCAAATCCTTTCTGCCACCCAAGAATCTTCATTGGCCTTATTAAGATCAGTACCAGTATCACTACGTCAATACATTAACAAGATTGCTAAATGTCACAGGAGGCATCGTCTGTATCAATAGCCATTTACACACATTTGGGGTGTGTGGGATGTGTGAGCAGGCTGAATGTGGAGAGGGGAGCAGGGCTGTGCCCTCTGCCTCACCCCTAACCTTCGCCCAGATTGGCTCTGTGGACAAATATAGTCTTTGTACAAGCAACTGGCAGCAGATGGCATCTGTGCAGAGAAAGCCTAAACACATACAACCCATGCACATTTTTAATATGTGCAAAGGTCTGTTTTGTGATCCAATTAGTGTTTCCACATAGACCAGTCTCAGTGAGGCCATGGGAAGCAAATTTCAGCACCTGTGCCACCTGAATCTTACAATCACATCACATTCATAAAATAATCCCATAATGTTGGAATAATCTATCCATGTCTCAGCTGGGGGGGGGATGATTAAAGGGGTTGGTTTCTCACATTACCTGTTTTAACTTTAATTGTTCATATTACTCTGATCCCAGTACTTTTCCAATAGGGATCAGTGAACAGCAAATGCACAACTCACACTTAGGCTTGGTTGCCTATAGCAGGCTCCATTTTTTAATTTCCGGGCTTATGGAATGTTCCATATTTTGATAAACATTTTCTACTGTGGGAAAGTATACAGTCACTTCAGTAATAAGTCTCACATCACTTGGCTAGGAATGAGCCAGCCAGCTAGCCAGACAAATGAGGCAGAGCTAAGTAAATCAAATCAGGACCTTCAGTTTCTGAAGATCCAAACAGAGATGAAAGATTCTCAAACTATCTGACATAGTGGACCAACAATTGTTTTTCCCAGTGTGCCAGAGACTGGTATCACATTCAGCCCCTGTAGCATCCCACACTGGGCTGTGGTGGAGTCGCCACAGACCAGCAACTGATGGCTCATGTGAACTGGCACAGGTCCATGGACCACAAGTTTGAGTAGCACTGATCTATGCAATTTGTAATGCTTTCGCTGCTGTTCATTTCATTGCTGTTGTTTCCAAGGATCCGTGTGACATATTTGTTTTTAGGTCGTTACAGTGGTACCTCGGGTTACATACGCTTAAGGTTACAGACTCCACTAACCCAGAAATATTACCTCGGGTTAAGAACTTTGCTTCAGGATGAGAACAGAAATCGTGCTCTGGCGGCGCGGCAGCAGTGGGAGGCCCCATTAGCTAAAGTGGTGCTTCAGGTTAAGAACAGTTTCAGGTTAAGAACGGACCTCCGGAACGAATTAAGTACGTAACCAGAGGTACCACTGTATTCCAGTTTATTTCCCTCATTATCCTCCCTTTTTTCGCTACTGTAAAAAAACCAGAAGTGTTGAGCGAAACTGCCCCAATGTGGATGTTTTGTTTTGTTTTGTTTTTTGCACAAAATTCCTCATTTAGTGGTGGGGTGGGTGGGTGATTGATGATGTTTTCTGTAAATTCTTCTTAGTGCCTTTTCCCCTTGACCATCTTTTTTGGATAAGAGACAATGGCCGATATTGAAGGAAACAGCAGTGGCTGGTCAAACCAGCAGTGGTTAATTTTGAAAACGAAAGAAGCAGCTCTTTAGTTATGCGATAAACATTGTGTTCACTGTTAATAAAAACAATTCACTTTTTTTTTACAATTGCATGACAATTGTTTTTCTCCATGGTTTACCCAGCTAAAATGTGAATGCATCATTCAGGCTGTGTTTTTTTTAGGATGCTATTGAATAACACATGCAATGAAATCCATTGTGAGATCATCATTGTCCTGGACACCATCAGAACTTTGTGTGCACTTCAATTTCACCTGAAGGTACAAGATGTTTCGCATTGTAAACCCGCTTTTAAAGCACATCATCCACCGGACTTCTCTCGATGCTAGTACAAGGAAACAATGCCTGCAATATTTGAAAACCCTAAGAGCGTTGCAACTTACAGGCTACAACACCATCTTTTTAGGAGAAACTGATCTTTCAGAAAGTCTAATAACAGGGGAAAAGGTTCCTCATGAAGATGACCTAAATTGGCCTGTATGGACAGTCGTACATGCCGGCAACAGTCAAGGGTGGGTACCATGGAGATACAGAGTGTTTCTAAGGGATGACTTGCCCCTAGACAAGCCAGAAGATGTCTTTCAGGAACTCTGTGACTTCCTGTCGATAACCTATGGGAAGTGTGCCATTGTGGTCAAAGAAAAAAGACAGCCCAGAGTGAAAATTGATGAGTCCACTCAGGAGGTGGAGATAAGCGAACCGCAGTTTACACCTCTCCCTCTTTTCTCAAGCATCAAGTGCTGTCCTGAGGTGGCCAAGGCCACAGGCCATGAACTTCTCTCAGTGCCTTTCCCCTACAACCACCTCCACCCTATGGATGCCGCCTGGTCCTCTTTGAAATGGTTTATTATCAATAACAGAAAGGAGTTCTCCCTGACCACTTTGGAGAAGACCTATTCATACCAATGCATCCTCTTCAGTGATCTGCTTGGGAAAGGAATCGAGAAGATGAGCCCAAACAAGTGGAAGATAGCAGTAAACAAAGTGCGCAGATGGGAAAACTACTACTTGGATAAGTTTACCTAAACTTTCTTCCATCCATATTTTTTAAAATGATTGAAAATTGGCCAGCTGATTTGCTAAATGTGCACATCGATTCTCCTTCTGAGTTATAATTCTAAATCGACAGTAGCAATGGTGAATAAAAGCAAGAGTTTTAAGGCGAAAATAAGCAATATGGTGCTGGGTTTACAGGTGTCATTCGAATAGAGATTTCATTCAATCTAGGTATGAGGAGGGCATATCTGCAGAAACTCAAGAGAGACAAAAGGTAGTGAATAAGATTAGCTGAACTGCAGAGGGAGGAGAGAGTGAAACTGGCCTTCACCCACAGAGCGAGACCAGAATCATACTTCCAGTGTGGAGTCCCCTGTCCCATCTGCCAAGCATTCCCACTGGCTTTAGCCCAAAGAATCCCCTAGGTGGGGCCCTCCAGATGTGGTAAGGGGCTGAAACAGCCTAGGATCCACTAGATCAGGGGTAGACAACCTAAGGCCCATGGGCCGGATGCGGCCCACAGGCCTTCTCAATCCGGCCCATGGACGGTCTGGGAATCAGTGTGTTTTTACATGAGTAGAATGTGTCCTTTTATTTAAAATGCATCTCTGGGTTATTTGTGGGGTATAGGAATTCGTTCATTTCCCCCCCAAAATATAGTCCAGCCCCCCACATGGTCTAAGGGACGGTGGACCGGCAAATGGCTGAAAAAGGTTGCTGACCCCTGCACTAGATCCTGAGACAGCTCCAATAATATGATGATGATAATAATAGTAATTTTATTATTTATACCCTGCCCATCTGGCTGAGTTTCCCCAGCCACTCTGGGCAGCTTACAGAATATAGAAAACATAACAAAGCATCAAACATTATTAACATCCCGATTGCTATAGCACCATCAAGGTGGTTTGTTGGGGTTTGGGAGCACTCCGTTTACCAATCTCTCAATCTCAGACTGTAAGTATAACGTTGGGAGACATTGCAGGACGAATCTACAAGGTGCTTTAATGATTGCTAAGATAACGCACATGAAATACTTTCCGAGATTTTGGGAAATGCTTTATAATTTTGTATTTCTAATCACAGAATCATGCCAAGTAATATCTGTGATGTTCTGCCAGCAGAGCATATTACACTTGAACAAGCTGGTGAAATTGCCATTCTTCTTGTTGAATTAGCGATGGTTTCATCTGAAAACCACCTACAGCCAATTGCCACAGTTTCATCCAACGCCAGACACCCTTTTCTCAGGTTCCTTTCTAAAATACTCATCCCCAAATAGTTTGCACGATTTTGAATGAAAATAGAAATCTAGATGAGATAGAAATGGAGCTGTCCAAAAAAATTTTAATCCAGGAACCATATCAATATTTTGAAAGTGCAGCCTGTGTATCATCAGCTAGGAGCTGGATGAGTAAAGATGCTATCTCCCATTCAATGGCCAGCCCCTTTGGGGAGGCCATCAAGTTTATGGCATATATTGGGGACTTAGAGATTGGATTACTGAAATGCACTTGGAGTTTCCCTTGTTCTTGATGTCGAAGCTCTGAGTGTTTGGTTTCTAACAGTCAAGCAGTATATAAATAGTATGAAACAAATAAATATGTACCAGAAATAGTAGGCATGTTCACTGATGCTAGTTATATGTGTGTGAATGCATGTGCATTTATTTTGCACCCCACAAAATAAAAACAAAATCCTGTGATTGGTCATGGCTGCAGCACGGCTAACTGGCTACAATGCTGCAGAGAGACTCTATTGTGTGTTTCTTAATCCAAGGAGAAAAGCAATACAAACATAGTGATGTAGACATTGCTCCCATCTTTATTTGAATTTCTGATGGGCTTTGGCAGGCCTTAGGTGGCTGGACTAGTCAAAAATAGGCATTTGGAATTTTCTTGGGGGCAGGAGCAGGTAGGCAGATAGACTGGAAGGGGCACACGGCTCTTCTGCAATCAGGGCTATCTTAGAAGTACGACTGCCTGAGCTCAATGACGTTTGCTGCCAAGCATTTATAGGGCTGCATTTGTAACTAATCATACTTGTCTCTGTTTAGCATGAATCATGCTATCCAGTCTTGCCGGTTACAGCAGTTCACTATATTTCCACAGGATGGCAGCATAGATAGATAGATATAGGCCTCACACTATTTGTGTACTAAAAATGATATTCCTGTGTAGCTTCTATTGCCATTTCTTAAGGGTTTCAGCTTTTTGATTGTTTGTTTTTGTTTTTCAAAAAGAGTGAGGCCTCTCCAACCTGTTACCAAAACAAAATAAATTGGGGATCCCTTTTCCCGCTTATAGTGACAGGGAGACAGTGCCTTCTGGCCAGTTGAAGACAGGCACAGCAATGGCAGAGCTGGTAAAACGCAGATTTTTCCCTGTCAGTTGCTCAAACCTCTCACAGTTTTTACACCTTGCCTGCAGTTTACTAAGCGGAATGATAAATAGGCTCATCAACGTTTTCCCATTTTCATGAAAGTAACTTTTTGCTACAGCATAGAACTTTCTCTAGACTTTGACACTGGGTTGTGACAAACCTGGCTCTGAACAGTGATGATGATGATGATGATGATGATGATGATAAAATAAAATAATAATAATAATAACAACAACAACAACAACCACCACCACCACCACCACCAGTGGGTTTCTTACTAAAAGAAAAATGGAATAAAACCCATTCCTGATACATCCTAGTTAAATCCACTATCTAGTACAGACATCAATTTAATTGTAATTACTCAAGCAACCTAAAAAAAACCAACTCTTTTAGCAAACCTTACAATTTATAAAGAAAACCCGAAGAACAGCTTCAGTTAAACACTTTAAAGTCCCACAGATGGCAACAGCAGTTCCACAAATGCTTATCTCTCCTGAAGAATTCAGGCATATAACACACGTCTGTGCAAGTTTGCTCAGAAGTAAGATTCACTGTGTCCAATGGGGCTGATTCCAAGCAGGAGTGCACAGGACTGCAGCCTTACAGACCTACTCAGAAACCCAATAATTTAAATGGACTTTAGTCTCAAGTAAGGTGTACAGGATTGCAGCCATAGCAAAATCTAAGTAGCGCAGTGCAAAATGAAGTTGTTAAAAGTAAATAGGTGACAGCTGGATTTTCATACTTTGAAGTTTGAAACACAATGTTGTGGGGGAGGGAAATGATGCCTTTTAAACCAAATGTAAAATTCGAGTTTCCTGATTATTGTACTCCAAACAAAATTCCTTTCAAAACCAGCGGATCGGACAGGACTAACTCAAGTCCAATTGTTCTCAATGGGATTCATACCCAACTTTAGCTATATCAGTACCTGTGGGAGGAAAATGCGGAAGGTCAGCAATTTAACTCATCTTGCTTTCAGGGAAAGATTTCATTAGACAATCCCTTCTATCATAGCAACCTGACATGTACCATTTCCTATACGCAACACCAAATCAGTTTTACAAACAGAGCTTTTATTATATAAATAGCTGACAGGATATTCTTCTTACTTATACCAGAAAAATAATAATATAAAAATCCAACACACTTGTGGTATGTTGCTCTTGGGGAATTAAGTTTCTCTGGCACAGCATTCAGTTTCAGTGAAGTCTTCAACTCTCCCAGGAAAGGAATCCAAGCAAGCTGCCAAACAGCTAGATCTGCACATACAAAAGAAAGAGTTGTATTTGCAGTAGTTGGATTTTTTAAAAGAGCAGCAGTCTTCCCATGTGGATGCATCAGGACATCCGTGGGAAGGGCCACAGCTCAGGGGCAGATCATCTGATTAGCACCCAGGTCACTCCAGGAAATCCTGGGAACATCTGGAGAGTCACTGTCAGTCAATGCAGACAATACTGAGACAGGTGTACTAATGGTCTGACTCTATGCAAAGCAGCTTCCTATATTCCTGTTAGGACTGTGTGATTCACCAGGTCATAACACACCTTAGGATGGAACTTCATGTTCCACTACCACTTCATATATTGGGATCCGCAAAGTGGTGCCAAGAGGATATGATCTGCAGAGGAGAATCAGCAGTGGGGGTGGGGGTAGATGTTTGGGGAATCCTCTTTGGTATCCCCCCCCCTTGCAGCTGCTTCTCAGCCAACTTGTCCCCTGCTAGGGTTAACGATCCATTTTTTGAGATGGGCAGCCACAAAACAGACCTGCACATACCACATTCCACTCTATTTTAAATTGCATTTTAACCTGTATTTTAAATTGGGTCCCCCCCCCCCCATTATGTTTTTGCTGTGATTTTATTGGTGTTAGCCGCCCTGAGCCCGGCTCTGGCCGGGGAGGGCGGGGTATAAATAAAATTTATTATTATTATCATCTGAGAATAGGTGGGTGGCCTGTAAGCTACAATCTTGTACAAAAGAGCTTGTGAGAGGGCAGGCAAAAGGTGTATGCCTTTGAAAAATGTTTACAGTTTAAGGAAAGCTTTGTTCCCTTTTAACTGTAATTTTGCAAAGTTTTATATTTATCATTATTATTAATTATATTTTTATTCCAGACTTCACCTGAGGATCACAGGGCACAACATAAAAATACAAAATGAGAACACCAAATGCATAATAAAACTAAAACAAACCAGTAATCCCTCTACAAAAGCATTTAAAAGGCCACAGAATGTTCAATCAGCCAAAGGCCTGGTTATAGAGAAAAGTTTTGCCTGGCATGTAATGAGCCTCCCTAGAGGAGCATTCCACAAATGGGGAGCCACCACAGAAAAAGCCCGTTCTCTGCCCTCGGGGCCTCTTGTGGAGGGACCACCTGAGGAAGGGCCTCAGACTATTATTGCAGAGTCCAGGTTGCTTCATAGTGTATGGCTCTCATGGTACTTCTTTGTTTTGTAGATGTACAGTTCCCATCAGTCCCAGCCAGCATTGGCTAGAGCAGATGGGAGTTCTAGTCTGAAATATCTGGAGGGCACCAGGTTACTGAAGGCTGCTTTACACACATAGTGGTGAATGGAGTCAGGCAAGAAACAGTTCAAGCATTCTTTCCAGTCAGGCCATACCTCTTAAGACATTTCAGTT